TGTGCAACAAGGAAAGATTTTTTATAAAGAGGAAAAATGAAGTGGGGGAGGGTGAGGAGGAAAATATGCAACAATGAATGAATGGGAATCCAAGTTTTCTGTAAATTTTCATCAAAATATCATTTAAAACTAAAATTAAAAATATCAATTAAAACTAGACAAAGTAAGCCTGATATCCTTGGCACAATCACTTTGGTAAACTATACAAAGTTTATGAAATATACCTGTAAGGAGATTCTAGATTTCTGAGATATAAAATATAGAATATAGCCTTTATAAAAGTAAAATCAGATGTAACTGATACCTTTTTTTTTCATTACCATCAAGTTCATTCAGATTCATAGAATTCCTTTAGGGTAGACTAGATATGCCAGTAGGATTTACAAGACTTAATTTTTATATTTAAATATAAAGAATCATATTAAAAATATAAAAATCATATTAAAATATAAAGAATCATATTTAAAATATAAAAAATCATATAAAAATATTAAGAATCATATTGCCACATATTCTCTAAAATTTCAGACATCAACTTTGTCTTTACCCCTCAACTATTTCAATTAGTACGACATCAAGCTTCTTTTTAATAACCTTTCAGTAAAAATATCAGATGAGTTAGACATGAGATTTAACTAGTAGTGTTTTTGAATTAGTAAGATGATTTAAATGATGCTATGAGCATCCTCAGATATACTTGCTGTCAGTTCATACACATTGGCCTTATGTGGCTTTCAGTCTTTACAGGAGGAATACAGATGGCTGATTCAAACTGCTGATCTTTTGTTAACAGCCTTATATGTTATCCCCTCCTTCACCAGGGTTCCTATCACCCATCAGACATAGTGAGACTAAATGAAAGGTTTTTAAAAATGACTGTAATAATGAAATATTATTAAATTTAAATATTGAATTTCTTAGAAATAACACTTAGGTTTTGGTCATAAAATAGTTATAGAAATAATTGTCATTACTCATTATTATTAAAAATAGAGTATATCTATTAAAGTGTATAGGTTTGCAGATGGAGTTATAGTGGATAGAACAAGTGAAACATGCATAGTGGAATTTTTAGTCAGTGAGAGGTAGTGATAAGATTTTCAATAAATTGCACTAAAATTAAAACAGAAAAATATTATCTTAAAGCTCAATGTATCTTTCAATATACCTTATTAGGTTTTACAGAGGAAAAATACTAGTAAGACAGAATGTTAGCATATCAGCGTTGGCATATATAACTTTTTTCTTGTGTTAAACATTTCTCAGTCTCTTTATATAATCTCTATATAATGAAAATATTCTCATCATCTACCCACTATTTTACTCTTTCTCACAAACCCAATAAAATTATTGTATCAGAAATGAACCTTCATTTCTAATATAATCTGTTTTCATTACACTAATTATTTACAAAATAATTCTAAAATAAATAATTTTCTAAACTGAACTTGAAAAGTTCTGTCAGTATATCAATAAAAATAATTTACTTGTAAAAAAATATTTTAAAAAAATAGGTCAACCTCACAGGAAGCTCTGAGGCTAAACAAACCTTTTGGAGATGTCCTGTATTAACATAAAAATTGGAATTTGTACTCTCACATTGAAAAGTCATTCCAGGAGGCTGTCTAGGGAAAAAGGCATAAGCTTGAAGGAATGAATTTCCTTTGGTTAAAAGCAATTTCTGAAGAGGAACTCAGTTGTCAGTCGTCAATATTCTCTATAGCTGAGGACCATATACTTAAGGGAGTACACTTTCTTCTTCGTCATCGTCTTCTTCTTCTTTGCCATCGTCGTCTTCTTCTTCTTTCTCCTCCTCTGCTTCCTCCTCCTCCTTCTTCTCCTTCTCCTTCATCTCATCCTCCTCCTCCTTCTCCTTCTTCTTCTTTTTGAGAGAGCCTCTGAGTAGCTGGAAAAGAGTACTGAATATCCCATGGAGTGTCAAAAGAACAAACAAGTATGTCTTGGAGAAAGTGCAGCCAGGGTGCTTCTTAGAGGCAAGGATGGTGAAACTCCATCGCACTTTAGGAATGTTGTTAGGAGAGAACAGTCTTTCGAAAAATACAGCATGATTGAAAAGGTCAGTAGAAGAGAGGAAGACCCTCAACAAGACAGACTGACACAGTGACAGTGACAGTCACAATGGGGTCAGGTACATCTGAAATGTTGAGGGCAACACAGGATAAGACAGAGTTCAGATCCGTTGTTCATAGAGTTGCAATGAATCATAGTCAACTCAATGGCACCAAATAACAACTGAGTAATATACAACAGTATTCACTACACAGACCAGTGGTAAATGACTTGCCCAAAACAGCAAATTTAGAATTCTGATCCAGGTCAGAACCTCACTCTTGCTTCTGTATCATAGTCTCCCATCAGACAGGGAAGGAAGAAATAATAATTAAAAAAAAATGGCATCACCAGGTTATTAACCCTAAAACCCCCAAATGTTGAATAACGACTTCTATAGGACAGAGTAGAACTGCATCATTTTCCAAGGCTATAAATCTCACGCCAGTGGACTATTACATCTTTCTTCCATGAAATGGCTGATGAGTTTAAACCACTAGCTTTTTTATTAGCAGCTGAGCTTTTAATTGTTGTGTCACCAGGGCTTCTTTAACTATGAAACAGGTGGAATGTTCAACATCTAGGGCTGATGTCAGAGCTGTCATGTCTGTCGCAGGCTCCTTCCATCTTGTTTCTCTACCCTTCTCTACCCTAGGTCATGATCAAATCCAGTTTCTCAAACACCTTCCATCACAACTGCATTTTAGCTGAGAAGAAAGAAGAGCAGAGTGTGAAGTGCTTTACTTGAAATACATGCTCTTCCCTTCATTTCAGATTTATTTCAGTCAAGTCAGGATTTGTTTGCCTTGAGCAATTCAGAATGAATAACCTCAATATTGGGTTCTTCCTTTTTACTCTCCACCCCATCTTCCTTCTCCTGTCATTTAAACATAATGTAATGAACATCCATAAATGGGTCTGGGGCCCTCTAGCATTCAGGAAGAGAGGAGACATGGAGATCATGCCACATGAATCACAACACATCCTCAGGAATCTATGTCCTCACCCCATTTCCAGTTGTGAAGTCACCAATGCCAGTGTCACAACCCTATACCACTATTGGTTTTCTCTCCCAGCTAGTTGCAAGCCTTTCTTAGAGGTTTCAACTGCTCTGCAAAATATCTGAGATCAGAGAACTCCGTTACAACTTGTCATCCTGCCTGCCATCACTGATACTCTCAGGCTCCAGTCAGAGTGAGCTAATGACCTCTCTGCTCTCAGATCCTCCAACATCCACAGTCCTGTCCCTACCCTCTGAGTCCTTCTGGAGGTTCTTACCAGCATCAGTCTCTTTCCCCAGCCGTAGGGAGGCTTACTTTCTTCTCAATACAAGGACTGGGATTGGGGAGCTGTTACAATCTCTGTTTTCTTCTGAATGTATTTGTCATAGACAATGGCCAGTGTCCTGCCTTTTCTCCTGGGTCTCTAGGATCTGGTAAAGAGTAAGTAGGGAGCTGAGAAAGGAAATACACTGACAGTCAAGCTCTCTTTTAGAAACTGTTGCACCTTGCCCTTCCTCTTGTGGGCATGGAAGATAAAACCAGGAAAAAAACATAGTTCTTGAAAAGCTGATTTGAAAGTGTTACAGAAAATAAGATTCAATCTGAAGAGCAACTTAACCAATTCATCTGGCTTAGATTGTCCTCCTAATGTCTGCACAAAACTTGGCACAAGATAAAGAATGTTGTCTAAAGGAGCTCTTTCAGTAAGCAGAAATTTATATAATATATAATGTATATAAAAGATTATATAAAGCACGACATATAAGAATGAAATACAGTGCATATGAATGATTGTATAAAACACAAAGTACATGTTTGAAACACAATGGATATGAATGATTGTATGCAAGCCAATTGTCATTGTTGTTGAGTATCATTGAATCAGAAAACTTACAGCTGACCCTCGTGTAGGGAAAGCCTGTGTCCTATTCTAATTATAGGATTTCTTCATCTTTTTAAAAGAATGCATTAAGTCTCTGTGCATAACAGTTAATGGAATCTTAGATTTTATGAACTTTGGTAGTTTCTAATATTCTCACCCATTTTGCAGAGCAGATGAGAAAATAGAGGCCAAGAAAAGTGAGGTAACCCACTAAAGGTAAAGTAACTTACTCAACATTGTGCAGATAACAAATGGCAAACCTGGAATTTGGACAGAAGCACAATCAGAGGCCTCCTTAGAGGCAAAGATGATGAGATATCATCTCACATATTTTGGGCATGTTGCCAGGAGGGACTAATCCTCAGAAAAAAGACATCATGTTGGAAAAGGTGGAGGATCAGCAAAAGAGGAGATCCTCAACAAGACAGATTGACACAGAGATGGGCTTATGTGTGTCCAGAGATCATGCAGATGACACAGGATAGGAAAAGCTTCCAATTTGCTATTCCTAAGGTCGCTCAGGATGGATAGTGAAGAGTTTGAAACTGTACACAGCTTTAGTTTGCTTGGCTCCACAGTCAGCAGTCTTGGCACCAGCAGCCAGGAAATTAAAAGATGCGTTGAGATGGGAAAGTCTGCTGTTAGGGACCTCTCCAAAGTACTGAAGAGCAATGCTGTCACTCTGGAGACTATGGTGCATTGGATACAGACCATGGTCTTTGCAATCACTTGTTACACATCAGAGAGTTGGACAATGACTAGGGAGGATAGAAGGAAAATTGATGCCTTTGAGCTGTGGTGCTAGAGAAGAGTATTGAGGGTACCATGGATTGCTAAGAAAACAAACAGGTTCATCCTGGAGAGGGTTGAACTGGGCTGCACCTTGGAGACAAGGATCTGAGGCTTCATCTGACATACTTTGGACATGTTGCAAGGAGGGACCGGTCCTTGGAGAGGGACATCATGCTTGGGAGGGTGGAGGGACAGCTCAGGAGGGGAAGCCCCTATAAGAGGTGGATTGATTCAGTGACTGGGGTAATCGGGATGGGTGTGTAAGAGACAGTGCAATTGGCACAGGACAGAGCAGGGTTTAGGGCTGTTGTACAAAGGGTCGCTATGAGTCGCAAGCAACTTGATGGCACATAACAACAATAACAAGGTCACTATGAGTCTTAGTCAACTAGACTGCACCCAACAACAGCAACTGGAGGCATAGCGTGTTGTTACTTGTTGTGTTCCTAATCAAAGAGGTCAGAGAGTCACCCCATTGGAGAAAGATCAGAGATCTCCTTGTTTACAGCCCTGCAAACTCTATTCAGGTAGTGGGTTCAGGTTGATGTAAGTGCACACCCCGCAACCATCCTGCCTCTGTGGAAGTCCCCTGTCCTCTCCCTTTCCCAGTTTTTCCACTGACTTTTATTCAGTGTTGACAAACACTTTGTAAGGAAGAACGTGTTGAGGATTAACCAGAAGGGAGAGAAGCCTCTACCCTAGTGAGCCAGGTGGGTAACAGCTGAACAAGAACCAGGTCTGGAGTGGGGCAGACCCTGTCCTGTCCAGTCATACCTCCAACATTCCCAGCCTACCAGCTCCTCAACACACACATAAGGTGCTCACTCAAATGAGCACACACTCACACACCCACACATGTGGGTCTCCTTCCAGTGGCTTCATCCCAGAACCCAAAAATTGTTACAAAGAGCTCATGTTCTGCCTCCTCTCTCAGCAGCAATGTCGATTGCAGGCAGGAAATGTGGAACCACAAAGCCATGATTAATTCTTCACCCTAATTCTCAGTGGTAATTTGGAAAGAGCTTGTTGTCTCCTGGAGCCAGTTCGTAAAACACATTAAATGCAGCTCCTGAGTGCATCAGAGGGAAGTCTGGCCCATTAACCAGGAGGCAGCTTATAGCATGGGGAGAAGCTGGGATGGAGGCAATACGTGGGAACAAACTGGAAGCAGCATGGGAGAAAGCTGCAAGGTTTGAGTTCAAGTCCAAGCTCCAATATTAGAACTTGAGAAAGTCACTACTCCTTGAACCATAGGAAGGGAGCGTTTGCATTATACTCCCTGATTAAAACAAGCTTGGAAGCAGGAGTAGCATCTACCTCCACAATAGCTTGCCTCTGGAAATCCTATGAACCTGGAGAAAGGGTGAAAGTTAGACAGGTGGTGTCCAGGACTTTTGTTCATAGGGTCACTATAAGTCGCCTGTGATTTGACGGCACTTAACAACACCACCACCAGCAGAGAGAGAGAGCAAGCAGTTGGCCTAGCGGACAGAAAGCCGTGCTCCCAAGCCAAAGCTGGGTGATTCTGCTCCGCAGTCCTCAGGCCTGCCTTTAATTGTTTTTGGTGAAACATTCTTCTAGGTTGTGTAACCCTGGTCTGTCTACTTGCTGTACAGAGGTAACTCGTGGTTGCTG